AATGAAAACTTTATTGAGTTTTTCCCAAATACAATCGTAAATCTCGCTACTTATAGGTAATTTACAATTGGCTACTTGAATCGAATACAAAATGTGACAAATGACAAAAAGAAAAAGAAAAAAAAAATATGAAGACTATTATTACTGCATTAACTCAGGACTCTTCCATTCTTTGTTCCTGCAGCAGAAAATATAATATGATGATCTAATTGCAATATTTATTAACTTTCTGATGATGTAAAGGCGATCATTGTTATTGAAATCAAGGTCTTCTAACATGTTGATAAAATTAGCAGAATCGTTAGCGAATACACCAAGTGCACTGATGGATAGGTTAATGAAGACTACATTTTTATACTGATTTTTCAAACTTTGAACAGACTCCTTATATTTCGCGTTTTTACGAGTTATGTTATTTTGTAGATTTGATTCATAACCCACTGTTAGCTCAAGAGCGTAGAGACACTCATCATTTTTAGTAGATAGTAACAGAACAGGACGGTAATCATCGCCAGTTATAGATGAGGGGTTTTTAAAACTAGAGAGGTCAACATATAAGGAAGCATCAGCAACAGACTGGAGTGCTTTGGCTAGGGAGAGAAGTACGGAGTCGTGTCTCCAAGTAAATCGACCTTGCTCAAGATATATGTTGCAACCAGCAATCACATGGAGAAGAGATTCAGGTTGAAGGCATAAAGAGCAATCTGAAGATGGTGAAAGACCCCATTTTGCCAGATTTTTACATGTGTTTAAAGTATTGTTAATGTAGCGAATTGGTTTTTTGGTAGTTTAGATTGGACTGTAGACCAGATGCTGTTCAACTTAGGGAGTGAGAATTTCATTACACTTGAAAAGAAGCTGCCTTGTGATACCAGTTGATTTTGTAATTTATCCTCGTTTATAGCATGAAAGTCTTTAATCACGTCTTTAGTGGATTTGTAGACATCATACTGAAGATTAGTGTGACAACTTGTTCATTTCCAAAGTTGTTTGATTGACTCATTGGGGGAATTCTTTAGAGCTTTCCTGATGACTGATTGACACTGGATGAACTTTATTGAAGGGGGAAAGATGTTTTGACCCATATTTATTACAAAGGAGAAAAATGTTACTTAGAGTTCCACATATGGGGATATCTAGCCATTTACGAGCATACGATAATACCAGGGAATCAAGACTTTCCTGAACCCAAGTCTTGGATAGATCAGCAAAAACAGTGAAGTGCCATGAAATTTTTGAAAGAACATATCGGTTGTAGAGTAGAAGTTTATTTTTTGGATGTAAAGGCTTTTGGTCAATTTCAGACATCAATAATAATATTAATAATAATAATAATTGTAATAAATAGAACAAGAATAAGAATGGTAATAAATAATAATAATAACAATAATAATAATGATAATATTCACAAAATACCTCAAACAAAATACCTTCAGCGACATAATCTGGTTCTGAAGGTCCTGTATTTTGAGCTATTGGCTGACCGAGATCTCATAAGCATTATTCAACCTTGGTATTCCTTAACGAGTCCGAAGGCTCGCGTTTAATAGTGTTGCTGATAGTCTTTTTCGTTTCTGTTTTTGTTTTAGTATTTTGTTTAGATCGGTTAGCTCATTTTCCTCAATTCATAATGATAATAAATAATTATGATTTATGATTTATACAGCGCCCTTTCTATATGGACATCCATATGCATATGCAATGCATATCCACGCGCTGGGCTAGCAGGAATTGGAAATCCTTGAACACAAAATAGAACCAAACGAAAAGATGATTGAAATAACCTTAAAAGTAAAAAACGTTAATCAATAAAAAGGAACAACTAAAGGCAGTTATTCGACATCTTCATTGAAT